GCCTTTGTTACTTCCAATAAAACATTTCCTATTGAACCAAAAAGCTCCAGTGGAATCTTTCATTATAGATAAAAGAATGCACCTCCTTCAAAATCAGAAATAGAAACATGATAAGAGACAGCAATCCCTCTATAGGGAATATATCCTAGAGATATAAGAGCCATCACATGAACAGACATATGCACACCCATGTTCACTGCAGCATTATTCACGATAGCAAAAAGATGGAAACAACTTAAGTGCTCAAAAACAGATGAATGGATAAATTATGGCACATACACACAATGGAATACTATGCAATGATAAAGAACAATGATGAATCCATGAAACATGTCACAACATGGATGAATCTAGAGGGCATTATGCTGAGTGAAACAAGTCAATCACAAAAGGACAAATATTGTATGAGACCACTATTACAAAAACCCAAGAAAAGGTCTACACACAGAATAAAAACAATCTGATGGTTACGAGGAAGGGGAGGGAAAATCACTAACTAGACAGTAGACAAGTGTTAACTTAGGTGAAGGCAAAGACAACATACAATATAGGCGAAGTAAGCACAACTTGACCAAGGCAAAGACATAGAAGCTTCCTAGACACATCCAAACATCTTGAATGACCAGCTTACTGGGGCTAAGGGCTAGCGACCATAGTCTTAGGGGATATTGAGGTCAATTAGCGTAACATAGCTCTAAAGAAAATGTTCTCCATCCTACTTTGATGAGTACTGTCTGCGTCTTAAAAGCTTGGGAGTGGCCACCTAAGATACATCCATTGGTCCCATCACGTTCAGAGCAAAGGAGAATGAAGAAAATCAAAGACAGAAGGAAAATATTAGTCCAAAGGAATAAAAGACCACATGAACCACAGCCTCCACCGGCCTGAGCCCAGAAGAACTAGATGGTGCCTGGCTACCACCACTGACCACTGACAGGGATCACAACAGAGTCCAGGGCAGAGCAGAAGAAAAATGCAGAACAAAATTCAAATAAAGACCAGACGTACTGGATACATGGATGGCAAAGAAACATACGAAAAGATGCTCAAACATCATTTGTCAGTAGGCAAATGCAAATTGAAACCACAATGAGATATCACTAAACACCTACTGTTGCTAGCTGCCAGTGAGTAGGCTCCCAACTCACATGACCCCAAACACAACGGAATGAAAAAATGCCCAGTCCTGCACCATCCCCATGACTGCCTGCGTATGGACCACTGTGATCCATAGGGTTTTCAATGGCTAATTTTTGGAAGTAGATTGCCAGGTCTTTCTTACTAGAACCAGCTGCTGTCGAATCGATTCCAACTCATGGTGATCACATATGTATCAACAGTACAACTGTGTGCCAAAGGGTTTTCAACAGCTGATTTTTTGTAAGTAGATCACCAGGTCTTTCTTCTGAGGTACTTCTGGGTGGACGTGAGCCTCCAACCTTTCAGTTAGCAGCTGAGCTGTTAACTGTTTGAACCCACTCAAGCACTCCATACATCTATTAGAATGGCTAAAATGAAAAAGAATGGCCATTCCAAGTATTGCTGAGGATGTGGAGGAATTAAACTTCTTATACACTGTTGCTGGGAATGTAAAATAGAATAACCACTTTAGAGAACAGTTTGGCAGTTTCTTATAAAGTTAAATATTCACCTACCATATGATCTAGCCATTCCACTCCTACGTATTTGCCCCAGATAAATAAAAACATATACTTATACAAAGACTTGTACATGAATGTTCAAAGAAGCTTTATTTGTAACAGCCAAGATCTGGAAACAATCCAAATGTCCATTGATGAATGAATGGATAAACAAACTGGTGTATATCCATACAATGGAATACCACTCAGAAACGAAAAGGAAGAAACTATTAATGCATGTTACAACACGGATGAATTGCAAAATAATTACATTAAGGGAAAGAAGCGAGACAGAGTAAACACTGTATGAGACCATTTACATAAAATTCTTAGAAATGCAAACTAATGTATAGTGACAGAAAGCAAATCGGTGGTAGCATGGGGACTGGTTGTAGAAGAATCTTGAGGGTGATGTGAGGAGGTTATTACAAAGGGATATGAGGAAACTTCTGGGGGTAATATATATGCTCAAATTTGATTGTGGTGATAGTTTCATGAGCGTATATTATGTTAAAACTTATCACACTGCACACTTTAAACATGTACAACTTCTTGTATGTCAATAAAGCTGTTAAAAGCAATCTGACAATACTGTCAAGGATGCAGGATAATGAATAGTGTCATAAGCTCTACCGGTAGAAGTGCCAAATTAGTACAAACTCTTTGGAAAACAGTCTGACATTATTTAGTAAAGCTGAATAGACACAAATCTTATGACCTAATCTTTCCCCTTTCTAAGTGTATATACTAAAGAAACTCTTGTACATGTGTACTGGACACATGTATAAGGATATTCATAGCAACACTGTTCGTAATAGCCAAAAACTGGAAACACGTCAAAATATATCACCAGCTGAATAATAGAATATTCATAAAATGAAATATTCAGAAATGAAAATGAATGAAATACACCCACATATAACAAATTTTATATATAACGAGAGAAATAAATCACACAAAAAAAAATTACATAAAGAATTATCCTGTTCATAAAAAGTTAAAAATAGGCAAAACTAAACCATTTAGTTTAAGAATACATACATAGTAAAACTAGACAGAAAAGCAAGTAAATGATTACCAAAAAAGTTACGGTTATCAATTACCTTGGTGGGCACAGGGGAAGATTATTGAGAAGGAACACACAAAGAGCTTTAGGGGTGCTGGCAACTTTCTATTTATTGACTAGGGAGTTATTATTATGTGAGGGGTTATTATATAATTATTTTTTGCCAAGAGTATTTATATTTTATGACCTTTTCAATGTTATTATTCGTAATTTTAAAACATAATTTAAAAATTGAGAGAAGTTCCTGGATTTGGTTATGCCCTCAATGTAAACTGTAAACCCTTTACATTAATTACTGGAATAACTAGTCCAAGCTTTGATAGACAAAGTTAGATAATTATTTGTATTATATAATCAACTGTAATAAATTTGTACACGAATGGAATTATGTCAGCAATTTTAAATAACACCGTCTATGATATATATATTCAGATCTTTTTTGTGAAAGAAATTGCCAGTTCTTGTCATGAATCATTTAGCATGAAATATATTGATTGGTTTTAATCTTTGGATTACTGATTATATTTGAATATATTACATTTCCTCAAAGTTGAACTTTACTCTCTTGCATTTTTTAATTTTTCATTCAGACAATTGCAAACATTTCCATGGATATTTTTATAATGAAATATCAGTTTTATACTATCACAAGTATATTACCAGCAGAGAGTATTTTATTGTAATATAAGATGTAGTAGGCTTGTTTGAGTTCATCTCACCCAAAATTTAAGCTTCTTCGAGCATTTGATGTTACATTTATTCTATCTGTTGATGGGCTTGGAATCACATGACGTCCTGGAGACATCTTCTTTACTTCCCATGCCAATGAAGTTGGTCTGCCAAATGAAAACATACAATTGATTAAATTAATAGGGGAAAACAAAATCATCTTTTCTCTTGGTTGTTAGTGTGTGAAAACAATCATGTCATGATTTTCCCTATGGTATTGCTTAATAGAAAGTTACCATATTACCAGTCAGGATCATAGATGATCTGTTGTCCAGGTTTTTCCACTCACTGCAGCACAGCAGCATAACTCTGCTTATCCAAAGGTCATAGGGTTATAAAAACATTGAGATACACTACTTATAATTTACAAGCCTCCACACCACCAGCTTTAAAAAAAAAATTAAAAAGGCAGTGGTACTATTTTGGTCTACCTGTGTCTGATCTCCTTGAGGAATAAGTTGGTTGAACAGGAATCAAAACATAAAGACAATGGTGAGGGTTTAAATAAAGAATACACAGGGAAATAGGAAGTTTTCTCCCACTATCTCTTGATCCCCCATGAGAGTGTTAGTATAAAGATTTCATTGCTCTCTGCTAGGAAGCTATGTAATGTAACTTCACTTCTACTCTTCCTTCTTCACTAGCCCCACAACCAATCAGCTGACAGGCACACAGCACTCAAGACATTATGTGCTGATTCCAAATGAAGCTTTCTAAAGAAATTTAGATCTCTCATTACTCTCCTAATAAAAAATCATCAATGTTCCTCACTGAATACTATATTAAAAAAGAAGTATCTTTCCCTATAGCATCTCACACATGCCCTGTACTTCCATAACTGTTCATTTAATGCTACTCCCATCATAAAAGCCAACCACTTGTTAAAATCCGTCCCATCCTTTAAATACTACCTTTGTATCCACTAGGAATGTTTCTGATCTATCATTCAAGCAGGCTATGACCCTGTCCTCTCAATACCCATAATAGTTCTTTGTCCTAATAAGTTCTATTTTACCTCACCTTCATACACTGCCAATTCTATGAGAGTAGTAAATGTGCTATATTCAGCAATTAAATGGATAAAAGTACTTTGCACTCATAGGTGCCCAACAAATACGTTACTGAACTGAATGAGAAATACAGCATCCAACTTTTATATTTCTAGTTATGAGGTCAAGTTCATTGTTCAACTTCAATGTATGCTACTGAAACCAACTGGCTGCTATAAAGACCAGAAATTCATTACCTGCTTTGAGCATCTGTCTTCTCTAGCTTTTCCTGAAGTTGAATCCAGTCAATCAATGCTTTGAAATCCCTTACATAGTTATCCAGCATCATTAGCACTTCCTAATTTAAAGCAAACAAAAATATTAAACTCTATTCTGAGACTAAAAGTTTCAAGAGAAAACTATTAGAGGTGAATGACTTATGAATTAATAACTTTTCCATAATACTCTTCATGGAGAAAGCTGTACAACCCACTGATCTAGTTTTTGTTTATTTGGTTTTTTTTTTAATCCTCACTGTTTAATAAGATAATAAAAAATTAGTGGAGTTGAAAATCTAAAGACCAAGAGATGGTACTGATATTTCTTCTCAAGACCTCCTCAAAAGGTCATTGTTTTCACTTTTTTATTGTGACATTTAATATAGAAAGTACACAAAACATAAATGTATAGATAAATTACTGCAAAATGAAGTCCCATGAAACTACCACCCATGACAAAAACTACAACAATGCAAGTCCCTACAAGCTCCTCAGATGTCCCCTCTCAATTACTACCTCATCCTTCCTTCAAGGCAACCACTACTTCTAATCATTTAATTTTGTTCATTTTTTGAACTTCATGTAAATGAACTTATACAGTATACATTACTTTGTCACTTCTTTGGTAGATTTGTTTGGTAGATTCATCCCTATTACAAAGTGAGTAAATTTGTAATTCATTTCTTGTCATAAATAAATAGGATTCCACTGTATGCATATACCAATATTTATTTCTCTAACCTGCTGATGATGGGCATCTGGGTGATTTCCATTTTTTGACATTACAAATTATGCTGTTATGAATATTCATGTACTTGTCCTCTGAACATATGTATCCATCCCTGCTGAGTAGAACTGCTGAGTCATAAGGTAAGCATACATTCAACTTTAGTGCATGACACCAAACTGTTTTCCAAGGTGGTTGCCACTCCTACCAGAAGTTTTATAAGAGTTCCTCCTGCTCCACATTCTTACCTACATTTGGTATTATCCATTTGTAGACATGTGTTTTGTTCTGCTTTTTAACCTGAGCCATTCTAGTAGGGAAATAGCATGTATCAGGACTCCATTCCTTTTAATGGCTGAATGATTATATAAATATACCAAATTCTGTTCATCTATTCATAAATTATGGAAATTCTGGTGGTGCAGTGGTTAAGAGCTAATGGCTGTTAACCAAAAGGTTGGCAGCTTGAATCCAAGCACTCCTCGGAAACCTTATGGGGTATTTCTACTCTGTCCTATAGGGTTCGCTATGAATCGGAATCGACTCGACAGCAACAGGTTTGGTTTTGGGTTATTTGTAAATTGATGAACATTTGGATTTTTTCTGGTTTTCAGCTGTTATAAATAATGCTGCTATGAACATTCAGGTATGAGTTTTTGTGTGAACATATTTTCATTTCTCATGGGTATATACCTAGGATTAGAATTGCTGTGTAGTATGGTAATTCTATGTTTAACTTTTTTAGGAATCAACAAACTGTTTTCCACAGAGGCTGCTCCATTTTACATTCCCACCAGCAATATACAAGGACTGATGCCATCCAACATCAAGACTTATATAAAAGTAACCAAGAGAGTGTGATATTGGTGAAAGAACAAAAAGATCAGTGGAATAGAACAGAGAGCCCAGAAATAGGTCCATATAAATACAATCAACTAATCTTTGACAAAGAAGCAAAGACAATTCAACAGAGAAAAGATAGTCTTTTCAACAAATGCAACAACTGGACACCCACAAGCAAAAAAACAAACCTAGACACAGATCCTACACCTTTCACAAAAAATAATTCGAAATGGATCATAGATCTAAATGTGAAATGCAAAACTATACAACTTTTAGAAAAGAATATAGGAGAAAATCTAGGTGACCTTGGATTTGGCTATGACTTTTTAGATACAACAACAAAAACACAATCAAAAAAGAAAAAATTGATAACTTGGACTTCATTAAAATTAAAAACTTCCAGAGGTGAAGCCAACATGGCACTAGAGACAGAAACACCATGCCATCCCTTCATAGCAAAGACCCGAAAAACTAAGCAAAACAGAGACAAACGTCAATTCTGAAACCCTAAGCATCAAATTAAGAGATAAAGAACTCAACCAAGCACCAAATGGAATAAGAAACCGACAGAGAGCAGAGAGGAGTGATACAGAGTAGAGGTCTCCTATCAGCTAACACAGCAAGGATTTGCCATCTTGGACTCCACGGCCACTGAGATCAGTGGACAGGGAGTATGCGAAGGCAGCTTCGCAGAGCTTCCAGGAGACAGAGCACCTGGTAGTCAGCGATACACGCTTTCCCACCTCCTACCCTTCTTCCCACTGCTCAGCTTCCACAGGTTCCCAGCAGGCTACACTCGCTCGGCCAGGAGGCGGGGGCTTCATGTTGTTTGGATTCACCCTGCCCACACAGGCAGGCTCCTTCAGTGCCATTTGTTTTTATGCTATTGTTGCTTATTTTGGCTTCTTTTGTTTCTTCCCTCTCTCTTACCTTTCTCCCTTCCTTTCTCTTGAATGCCTGGCTCCATGTGCCATCTCCACTTCTTCTTGACAGGCTGTGAAGCATCACTTCGCTGGGGAACTGCTACCCTAGTCTGCGCCGCCATGCCAGTAGGATCCCTGGGGGCATTTTTTTTCTTTTTTTCCTTTTGTTTTTCTTCCTTTCTCGTTTGCTTATCTGTCTCTACTTTACTTCTCTAACTTTATCTCCTGAACATCTGGCACTGTGTGCCATCTCCGCACCTTCAAGACAGGCTGTGCTGCTCAGCTTGGGAGCCACTTCCCCAGTCCACTCCCTGGGGACATTTCTTTTTCTTTCTTTATTTTTATTTTTTCTGTTTCCTTTTTCTTTTTTCCTTTTTGTTTTTGTTCATTTCTCAGTTTCTCGTTTCTCTCTACTTTCCTTCTTTTCCTTACTCCTGAATATCTGGTGCTGTGTGCCATCTCCACCCCATTCAGACAGGCTGTGCAGTGCCTAGCAGCTTGGGAGCCACTTCCTCAGTCCGTGCCACCAAGCCAGTGGGCTCCCTTGGGGACTTAATTTCTTGTTTCTCTCTAGCATATTTCCCTTCTTCTCTCCTGAACATCTGGTGACGTGTCCCATCTCTACTCCTAGATGGGCTGTGCAGTGCCAAGCAGCTGTGGAGCCACTTCCCTGATCTGCACCACCACACCAGTGAGCTCCCTCGGAGTATCTTTTTTTTCCTTTCTCTCTTCTTTTCTTGATTTCTTGTCTCCCTCTACCTTCCTTCCTTACCCTTCTCCTGGACATTTGGCAACATGTGCCATCTCCACTCCTTCTTGACAGGCTGTGCAGTGTCATTCAGCTGGGGACTCGCTTCTAGTGGGCTCTCTTGGGGCATTATTTTTGTTTCTCTCTTTCTTTTTCTTTTCCTTCTCTTTTTCTCAGTTTCTTGACTCTATCTACCTTCCTTCCTCACCCTTCTCCTGAACACCTGGAGCTGTGTGCCGTTTCTGCTCCTTTTTGATATGTTGTCCAGTGCCATTCAGCTGAGGACCCATTTCTGGTGGGCTCCCTTGGGGCATTTTTCTTTCTTTCTTCTTTTTTTTCTCTCAGTTTCTTGTCTCTCTCTGCCTCACTTCCTCCCAACCACCTAGCATTTTTGGTTTTTTTCTCAGCTTGTCTCTCTCTACATTCTTTCCATTCCTTTATCCCAACCACATAGCCATGTCTGTCTTTCTCTCTCCTTTTTTAAAATCTAGTTTCTTATCTCTCTCTCCCTTCCTTCCTTTCCTTTCTCCCACCCATCTAGCTGTGTGTGCTGTATCTGTCCCTTCTTGATGGGCTGTGCCTCACCACCTGGCTAGAAAGCCACCAG